ATTGGACTTAACTACCTTTTTTTTCCCTTTCTTTTTTTATTCCCTTAGCTGGGATCAACTGGAATTTTGTGTGTGTGTGTGTGTGTGTGTGTGTGTGTGTGTGTGTGAACTTGTGAACTTGTGAACTTTCTGGAGTCAGTTTCATTGCCTTCTGCGATGCTGAGGCAGGGCCTAGTCTGTTTCTGTTTCTGTCCCTGTGTAGCCTACTCCAAGCTGGGTGGCCTACAAGCTTCCAGCGTACCTTTCAATTCACTGGGATTTCAGACACACACACCACCACATCCAGCTTTTTATTGGGTTCTGGAGATTAAACACAGGCTACCAGGCCTGTGTGGTAAATGCTTTTGTCTGCTAAGCCATCTTACTGACACCCAAAATGGTTTCATTTCATAGATATGATGCTGAACTCTAAATGTTTTATGGACATAGGGAAGTATCTGAAAGTTGTGCAGGCACACAACAATTAAGAATGTAAAATCCAGCCGGGCGGTGGTGGCGCACGCCTTTAATCCCAGCACTCGGGAGGCAGAGCCAGGCGGATCTCTGTGAGTTCGAGGCCAGCCTGGACTACCAAGTGAGTTCCAGGAAAGGCGCAAAGCTACACAGAGAAACCCTGTCTCGAAAAACCAAAAAAAAAAAAAAAAAAAAAAAAAAAAAAAAAAAAAAAGAATGTAAAATCCAGGTGGTGGTGGCGCACACCTTTAATCCCAGCACTCGGGAGGCAGAGCCAGGCGGATCTCTGTGAGTTCGAGGCCAGCCTGGTCTCCAAAGCAAGTTCCAGGAAAGGTGCAAAGCTACACAGAGAAACCCTGTCTCAAAAAAAAAAAAGAATGTAAAATCCGCCAGAAGGTGGTGTCGCATGCCTTTAATCCCAGCACTCGGGAGACAGATCTCTGTGAGTTCAGGGCCAGCTGAGTCTACAGAGAGTTCCAGGATAGGCTCCAAAAGCTTCACAGTGAAACCCCGTCTTGAAAAACAAACCAACAACAACAAAAAAGAATGTGAAATCCAGGCAGACAGGCTGTGAGGACCAGGCACAGCCATAAAACCCTTGGGAACTTTGTAGTTGAGTAAGGCTCAGAGCATATACAATAGAGTGAGCAAGAAAATCATCCAATGGCCTGTTGGTTTTAGTGTGGCGGCGAAATGTTATTCATTAAAGGATGTTGTTACCATTTGAGAAAGGCCACAAGGCACGACAAAATCCAATATCAGTTTTATTAGGAGAAGGGAGGGACAGGAAAGAACATGACCAGGCCTGTGGAAGACTTGTGAACAGAAAAAGAGCAGGAAGAAAGAAGGAGGAGGAGTCTGTCCTGCTTCTTATGGATTCCCCTGCACATGAGCATATGGGCTTACGGAGCTATGCCTCACAAGCACATAGATTGCCTGATCATGATGCATGCAAATTACGAGATCATGCAGTGCACAGATTATGTAGGATGTAAGGCCCCTTACTTGGCTACTGAACTGCACATGTGTGGTCATGTAGCTGGGGGAGTGTCCAGGAATTCCAACACCTGTGCCTGAAAATATTAAAACAATGGTTAAAGAACTGAAAGAAGGTGCCTTGTGTGGATATAAGAAAGATACTCCCCCAAACTATAAGGTTATTTGCTGTGGGATGTTCTGTATGGCAAATGTGTTGCTGATTAGTCAATAAATAAAACACTGATTGGCCATTGGCTAGGCAGGAAGTGTAGGCGGGACAAGGAGAATAAAGCTCGGAAGTGGAAGGCTGAGTCAGAGAGACACTGCCAACCGCCATGATGACAAACAGCATGTGAAAATGCCGGTAAGCCACGAGCCATGTGGCAAGGTATAGATTAATGGAAATGGATTAATTTAAGCTGTAAGAACAGTTAGCAAGAAGCCTGCCACGGTCATACAGTTTGTAACCAATGTAAGTCTCTGTGTTTACTTGGTCAGGTCTGAGTGGCTGTGGGACTGGCAGGTGAGAGAGATTTGTCCTGACTGTGGGCCAGGCAGGAAAACTCTAGCTACAAATGGCGTCCAATGTGGTGGCAAGAGTTTCCACCTAAAAACTGAGAAAAGATTTTAAAACGGAGCTAAAAACAGTTCCTAATTGTCTCTCTCAAATGAGCAGCAGCTGCTGGTTTGAGCTACTGATGGGTTCCTGGCATGCGTGCTCGATTTGCAGTATGGCGGGAATGAGGCCTCTGCAAGTGGCACATTAAGCTGTGTGGTGGATTTAGCCTTTGCTAGTACAAAACAAAAAAAGGTTTCTGGGCTACACGCTGCTTGGATAAAAGTATAGACCCACGATAGCTCCCAGAGCTGGTGGTAAATGTAGCCATGATGGGAAGCTGAGGTGGGCGGAGCCAGCAGCCACAGCTGCTGCAGTTTAAAGCAAGAGATTCACAATAAGACTGATTCAGATGTAATAGTTTACAATGTGTGTAAAATATACGTAGGCTTGAAAGAGACAAAAAAGGTGATATATACAGTTATATAAACAAATACATAGTTAAAAAATAAAGTCTTTAAAGAGACAGTAAAATTAATATAAAAAATAAGCCACGTAAAGATGAATATTACACAGAGAATCTGGATTGTGTTGTCTTTGGGATTCTTAACTGCAGAGAGATATTTGATTGCAAAGGAAGCTGAGTTAAACCAATGTGTATACTTTAAAGATACCTTAACTTCAAAATTTGGATGTAAGGATGTGTTTCTTTGGAAAGGAGACTCTACTTTTGTTCCCACAGAAAGGCAAAGGCTATGGATTTGTTCCAGATTAAGATACATCAGGTTTGACCAGCCAAGACCCCCTGAAAGGTCTCCGATGACACCATGGCCCAGATGATCCAACATCCAGAACCGTTTCAAGGCAACTGGCTCAGATGATACACCCTCATGGACTACTCCATAACCCTAAAATTTTCTTTGTGTCCCCATAAGATACAGCGCCCCCCTCCAGCAGGAAGTAGTAAGAGAAGCTATGCCCAAATTCCCAAATTATATGTAATTTTACTTTGTTAAGGTTAAAACCTTCCTTTTTGAAAAAAAAAAAAGGGAAGTGCTGTGGGATGTTCTGTATGGCAAATGTGTTGCTGATTAGTCAATAAATAAAACACTGATTGGCCATTGGCTAGGCAGGAAGTGTAGGCGGGACAAGGAGGAGAATAAAGCTGGGAAGTGGAAGGCTGAGTCAGAGAGACACTGCCAACCGCCATGATGACAAACAGCATGTGAAAATGCCGGTAAGCCACGAGCCATGTGGCAAGGTATAGATTAATGGAAATGGATTAATTTAAGCTGTAAGAACAGTTAGCAAGAAGCCTGCCACGGTCATACAGTTTGTAACCAATATAAGTCTCTGTGTTTACTTGGTCGGGTCTGAGTGGCTGTGGGACTGGCAGGTGAGAGAGATTTGTCCTGACTGTGGGCCAGGCAGGAAAACTCTAGCTACAGTTATTACTAAGAGTACTAGTGCCAGGGGTGAGCTACCTTCTTAGGAGGTTTTGGCCATAGAGTTCCCAACAGAACTAGACACTAAGACCCCATTGCTGAAGACACTGCATGCTCTGAAGAAATCAAGCTTGGATTTGGCTAGAATCTTATTCCCTATTGGCTTGCCTTCATAGTGCCAGAAGGTATATGTAGTCAGATGGGGGAAATTGCCATCATAATCCTACTCGTCTGTGGCCCCTGTGTGCTATGCTATAAACATGAAAGGCTGGATGTGTCCACTGGTGTGATCTATGGCATAGTTGATGTGGGTACAATCAATTGCTTTCTAATTTGATATTTTTTTTGAGACAGGGTCTCTCTATGTAGTCCTGGCTGTTCTGATATTTGCTATGTAGACCAACCTAACCTCAAACTCACAGAGATCCACCTACCTCTGCCTCCTGAGTGCTGAGATTAAAGGTGTACACCCATCACACCCAGCTCTAATCAGATTTAAAAACATGCACCACAAGAGGGATTTCCCACCCAGTACGATAAAACAGGGCAAAGTCCTGCAGATGAGAACCCATGGGTCTTAGAGGGAAAGCATTGTGGTTGTTTGCTAAATGGATATGATGCACCTGTCATTACCTTCTGATGACCTTGCTAATGCTCATAGGCTATTCTCAATGTTATCCTTGGTCAAGAAAACATTTTTCCTTGGTGAATGTGCATAGATTCACAACGCGTCAAAGTGTGGTCTGAATAGGAATGGCCCCCACAGACTCATGTGTTTGAATGCTTGGCCATAGGAGTGGAACTATTAGGAGGTGTGGCCTTGTTGGAGTAGGTGTGACTTTGTTGGAGGAAGTGTGTCTGTAAAGAGTGAGCTTTAAGGTCTCAGAAGCTCAAACCAGGCCTAGTGGCTCACAGTTCTCTGCCTGCTGCCTACGGATAAAGACGCAGCTCGTCTAGCACCAAGTCTGTCCACACGACATCATGCTTCCCACTATGACAATAATGAACTAAACTGTAAGACAGCCCCAATTAAATATTTTCCTTTGCAAGAGTTGCTGTGGTCATAGTGTCTCTTCACAGCAATAAAAGCCCAACTAAAGCAATGTTGAAAATAAGTGACTGATGAATGCTCAGGGTAAGTCAGCTATTTGTATCAACCCTTTATAGCTTAGGAAACATTGTAAAAGAGAGCTTAAACAATTATAAGAACTGGAGGAAGGGACAGAGTGCTGTGGAGTGCTATACTCTGGGCATAATATAGTATTTGCCCTCGAACTCTATGGCTGTGATTACCCACATGAAACCTGTACAAAATTGAGCCTATGTACATTCCGTCCTGGAGGGGGGCACGTTCCACAAGACTCTGCCCGTCCCTGAGGATGTATAGACAGTTACAGTTCTCTGAGAAGGAAATTTTTTTTCTAGTGGTGTGACCCTTTGTAAGTTGCTCATGCTCTTGTAAATAACCACTTACCCCCAATTCTGTAAGTAACTAAAGCTGGATTTGGGTGGAGTCATTTATATGCATTGTTATTGGTTTCTTTGTCTGCTCAGAAATGTTCACACAATGCTGGCCTATATTTAATATCTAATACATTTGTTTTGAAGAAGGGAACTGAAAATAAATACAATTATTTTCACTGGTATGGTAATACCGGCTGGGTAACATGGATACCTCAGGACTGGGGATTGGTTGGTTTAAGGCCATATCCCTACCTCAAAAGAGCAAAACCAGCACAAGAACAAGATCGACAACAACAGAATAGTGTTGGAGCAATTCTGGGCTCTGATTCATGCTGATGGTGAAAGTGCACAAAAGAGGTTGTAGTACAGACATCTCTGAAATGACCTCTCCATGGTTGGGGGTAAGGTTTTTATTGTAGATAAGTGAGAGACAGGAAGAGAGGGAGAGGGAGAGAGAGAGAGAGAGAGAGAGAGAGAGAGAGAGAGAGAGAGAGAGAGAGAGAGAGAGAAGCCAGAAGCATCTGGAAGAGTTCAGAGCAGAGAGAAAAAGAATCGGGCTTAGGCTTTCACCAACGGATAGACTGACCAAGCAGCTGTAGTCTTAGGGAGCTTGGGAGAGGGGCTGACTGAGGTGGCTGAGGTGTGTTTGCTGCTGTAGTGGTAGGTGGTACGAATGCTAAACTCTCTGATAAAGCGAGGGCCTGGGACGAGATGAGTCCCACCATCACAACCTTCAAGACATATGAGACATATAAATGTGAGCAGGAAGTATAGACCAAGTGGACTCTGTATCATTAAACACAACAGAAACTTACAAGCTGCTTGAACAGTCAGCCTGGGGCCCTCCATGGTAATCTCTATGGCTTTGTTGGGGACAGAAGTCTTAGGGTACCACCTGTCTCAGACACCAGATCCAGAAGACTGGAGAGAGTTTCCTGTGGAGAAGGAACTTGGGGGACTGACCCATCTTGGTGAAGCAGAGTGGGGCACTCAACCCAATAGTGTCTACAGGTGGAGTAAGGCCCTTGCAGTGGGCAAGGCTTTGTCCAGTAGTAAGAGTTACCACACTTGAAGCAATCTCTGGGTAGAGTCCATAGGTGCCCATCTTCTTGGGAGATAGCCACAGAACATCTTTGGTAATGGCTGCTGCCAGAAGTTGATATTTCTGTCTATCATGGGAAGACTTTTTCTTTAAACACCTTAAATACAATATTCAACAGATCTGAGGAGTTTCAGGACCATCATCTAATCTATTTAAAATATCTGATTTTAAACAAACTACTTGTTTTCAGGTTTCAGCACCAGATGTGAGGGCTCAGTGAAACTGTTGAAGTGGACTGCTCCATGGGTGAGAAGCCAGGAATATTTAGGGAAATCCAAAGTTGCCCTGGCTCTCTCTTGGGGGCAGAGGGAAGAGCAAGAACGGTGGTACACAGGGGGCGGGTGGGGGTCTCGCCAGTTATAAGGGGTTATAGTGCACAAGGTGGATGAAAGTCAGCTGCAGCAGCCTGTGAAACAAAGGCATTCGGCTTTGGTCTCTTGGAAGCTTGTTTGAGTTAACAGAAAACTAGATGCTCTTTCCAGAGGTTGGGCATTGTAGGAGTGTATAAGAAAGTAATGGCTTTTCCTGGACAACAGAAGCCCACTTTACAAGATTTCTGAGGAATGCTGTGTTCAGGTCACAGTCCTGGTAAGCTCTGAGCTGAGGCCAGACCGCACCCAGTCAGTGGGCTTGCCCTTTTGGGGTGCTTAGGGCTTTTCTGTTTGGACTCAACAGAAAGTAGAACAGAAATGAAAATGAAACACATATAATCATTTCTGGAATATTTTAAACAACTCTAGGGAAAAAATTCCCACAAAACTTCATGTATTAGAAAAAGGAATGTCTTAAGTCAATAGCCACAGCTTCTACTTTAAGAGACTAGATACAAAGGGGAAAAAAATGTAAAGGATAATAAAGAAAATAATAGTTCTCAGCCCTAGTGTTTTCAGAGGGAGCACAGCCTTGCCAACACCTTGATTTGGGAATTTGATCTTCACAATCATGAGAAAATACATTTCTTTTTAAATTTAAACCAGCCAGCTTTGGGCATTTGATTTTCACAGGCCAAACCAATATATAATAATAGAGCTGGTGAGATCAAAATACTACTATTTCTACTGTAATGTCAATTATAAGTGGATTTGTACAGATCAATCTGGGACTAAAATTAGAAAAAGGAATGAATGTGAAACACCTATACAAACTTCATTTACAAATAATGTTATTAAAAATAAGTACTATGCAATAAAAGTTTCAATGTAGTATTTTTTTCTTTTTCAAAAATTGATTATTTTTCATGTAATATATCCTGGTTATGGTTTCCCCTCCCTCTGTTCCTCCAAGTTTCTCCCCACCTCTCCTCCCATCTGGATCCACTCCCTTTCTGTCTCTCACTAGAAAACAAACAGGCTTCTAAGGGATACTAATACAATGAAATAAGATAAAACAGAAACAAACACATTGGAACAGGACAAAACTAACAAACAGAAGGAAAATAGCCCAAGAAAAGGCTCAAGAAACAGCTACAGATGCAGAGACCCATTCGTTATCATGTTCAGGAACCCCATAAAAACACAAAACTGGAAGCAATAATATATATGCAAAGGAACAGTATGATAAAATAAGAGATAAAAATAAAAATTAGCCGGGCGGTGGTGGCACACGCCTTTAATCCCAGCACTCGGGAGGCAGAGCCAGGCGGATCTCTGTGAGTTCGAGGCCAGCCTGGGCTACCAAGTGAGTTCCAGGAAAGGCGCAAAGCTACACAGAGAAACCCTGTCTCAAAAACCAAAAAAAAAAAATAAATAAATAAATAAAAATAAAAAATAAAAAAAAATAAAAATTAAAAATGATAAAACTTGGAAAAGAAAATTGCTCAACATGACCTTATGTGACAAGGAACCTCCAAAGATTCTGTTGAGTTCATTTTCGATTGGCCATCTAAAGCTGGGCATGTGTCCCGCCCTTAAGAGTAGTTTGATTCTCCACTGAGACGACCCTGGAGAAACCTAATTTCCATTTGCAAGGTTTGTCCATTGGAGATAGTTTCTGGGTTAGGATGGAAGCATGTGTGTCCATTTCTCCTTTTGGCTCTAAGACCCCCATCTGATGCAGCCCTGTGTATGCTGTCTCAGCCGCTGTGTTCATATATGTGTTGATCCTGCTGTGTTGAGAAGGCCTTGTTTCTTTGGTGTTCTCTGTTCACTTTGGCTCTTACACCCTTTTGTCTCCTCTTCTTCAGGGTTCTCTGAGCCCCGAGGGGAGGGATTTGTTGGAGACATCTCATGTAGAGCTGACTGTTCAGAGGTCTCCCATTCTCGGATTATTATCTGGCTGTGGGGCTCTGTCTGTGTTCCCATCTGCTGCAGAAGGAAGCTTCTGTGATGATGGTTGAGCCAGGCACTGATCAATGAGTATAGAAGAATGTCATTAGGAGTCATTTTATTGCTACATTCCTTTAGGAGAACAGTGGTATTTAGTTTTACCTGATATCCCCAACCTATCTACTCTCAGGTTCTCAGTCACCCAAGCAGCATATGTGATTCATTTTGTGGAGTGGACCTGAGGTCAAATCAGATATTGGTTGATTACACCCACAAGCTTTGTACCACCATTGCACTAGCATATCTTGGAGGCAGGACACCTTTGTTGACTGAACAGTTTGTAGTTGGGTTGGGTTTTACATTTCTCCCTTGGTTGTATGCAGAGTACCTTCAAGTACCAAGAACACTAGTGTGTAGGAATGAAGGCTTTAGGGAGGCACCAGCTCAACTTCTCCATGTTCAATGAGTTGTGTAGGTATTGTCTTTAGCAATAGGGGACTATCAGTTTGTGGAGAGCAACCTATAGTATTGAAAACAGCCTGGGCTATTTGGGGATTTTAAGTGTAACCCTTTGGCCAATAACTCAATTAGATGTAATCTGTTCCTAGTACTGGACGCTTTACTTGGTGACAGGTGATGTCCGGTTGTGTTATTCGGAGATTTCATTTAGTTCCCCTTCATATATGTATAATTTTTAAGAAGTTTCTACTATATTAACTTTCCATAATACCTCTCAAATGGTCCTTAATTTTATCTGTCTCTCTATATTTCCCCCCTCAGCCTCTTTCCCCTTCATCTTCCTACTTAAGCCTCTAATTCCAGTACTTCCTCCATCACCCATTCATAACTATCTATTCTGTTTCCCTTTCCTCAGGGATCTATCTGTCCACTCCTAGTCCTTTATTCTATACTTACTCTCTGTGGTTCAATGGATTGTAACTTAGTTATCATTGACTTAAAAGTTAACATCCACATAGAACTGAATACTTACCATATTTGTATTTCTCGCTCAGGATGATTTTTTTCTAGTTCTATCTAATTAGCACCTTCCCTGGCCAGTGTGGCTGGTGGGTTCCCAGGGAATCTCAATGTAGTATTTCATAAACACCTTAAATATTACAGAGTTAGAACAGCTACTGTACAAGGATGAAATATAAGATTGTCTAAAGAAATATGTAAACAAGAACAATATTAACTAGCAAGTGATTATAAATAAAACTGATAGTTTAAATGGAATAATCTTTATTCTCCTGTAAATTGTCTTTAAAAATTAAATATGGTAATTTGTTGTTTGTTTTTCTAAAATTAAATACTTTTTTTTTTCTGTAGCTGAAGACCAAACCCAGGGCCTTGCGCTTGCTAGGCAAGCACTATACCAATGAGCTTAATCCCCAATCCCTAAATTAAATAAATTTAATAAATTGGATATTTTTCATTTTTCCCCTTTCTCCAGAGCTTTCATTCTTTACTCAATTTACCATGTTACTCTAAATAAACACCACTAATGACCCAATTTCAGTCTGGGTAGAAGCTGTGAGTGAAGTATCTTAATGAGGAATCTTAAAGCTTCCAAAACTTGGTATCACATAATATTATTTTTACAATCTAAGTTGAAGGATTTTTTTCAGCAAAATGAAATTAGAGTGTCACATGACACTCTACACAGACAATAAAAACCCAGCGTAAAATTTGTTAATTATTGCCTTGTCCCTGTTATTGTACTGGCTGTAGAAAGCAATTATTACCATAAGAAATAGTGTTGGTGTTGATTTTCAACAGAAATTCCTTATTTTGGTTTTTTGGGACAGAGTTTCTCTGTGTAGCCCTGGCTCTTCTGGAACTAGCTCTGTAGACCAGGCTGGCCTTGAACTCAGATATCCACCCACCTCTGCTTCCTAAGTGCTGGTATTAAAGGCGTGCACCATTACTGTGTTATTTCTCATTATCCCTTTGCTACTATTCACTGTGCTCTGAAGTCCATGATCTAATGAACTGTACTACATCCTCAGTCCCAAATTACTTCTATAACCAGAAAAATGCTAAGCAGGTTACAGCAGCACACACTTGTAATCAGGTTTCTAGTTAACATTCTTATTTGTATAATAAAGCCTTTCCTGGATCTCACTCTGTAGACCAGGCTGGCCTCGAACTCACAGAGATCCGCCTGCCTCTGCCTCCCGAGTGCTGGGATTAAGGCGTGCGCCACCACCGCCCGACTGAACAATAAACTTAATTCTCTACAGTATGATTGGTGCAACGTAATGGCCCATATTGAAAACAACCCACGCTTTTATTAATCTTAAAATTTTCTTTACTTTCGTTTTTCGAGACAGGGTTTCTCTGTGTAACAGCCCTGGCTGTCCTGGAACTCACTCTAGATGGGGTTGGCCTCGAACTAAAAAAATCCCCTTACCTCTGCCTCCTGGGATTAAAGGCGTGCTCCACCACCGCCCGGCTCAATCTACGCTTTATTTGAAAAAAACAACAACAACAAAAACACGGAAAATCAGTGTGTCTTAGCGAAAGGGTACCTAGCCTAAGCACCAATTCAAAGCACAAATTGAAAGCTGCGCAAAAGCACGCTCGTGACGTCATCTCTGCGCGTCGCTCCTCGGGGCCAATCGCCGCGCGCGTAGCTTTGTGCTGCAGAAACCCCCGCGCCGGGTGCCTTCCCCGTCGCGGAGTCCCAGCTTCCCGCGCGCCGCCCGGAGCGGTGTGCGCGCGCAGGCGCCCTAGCCCATGCCGGCTTCTCCCGGTGTCAGTGGTTAGTCCCGGATCCGGAGCCGCCTTGAGGCGGGGCTGGGCCTTGGCGGCGGCCAATGGCGCCCCGGGTGAGGGTTGAGGGGTGGGAGGTGCTGGGCCGCCTGCCGTGCGGGGCTCCTCCAGCGCGAGTGCCCGGCCACCCGGTAGTCATGGAGGAGGTCTTGGCTGAAGAGCTTGACGAGGAGGAGCAGCTGGTGAGAAGGCATCGCAAGGAGAAGAAGGAGCTGCAAGGTGACGGGGCCGGGGCTGGGACCCTAAAGGTCGCCTACACCCAGGGCTGGGAGCGTGGCGTGTGCCCTCGAGAACCCGGAGGGGCGACCAGCCTGGATCCTAGATGTTCCTCCCCTGAGAAACTTTCGGTCTGTCTTCTCCAGCTCTCCCCCACTCCCTCGGCCCTAGGTTTGCAGTCCTCGGGGGTGTCCCCGTGTGCAGCCTGCAGCAGACCCCCAGCCGGTGCCGCGCAGGGGCTGCTGTTGGATGTGCCCGGAGGCCAAGGTCTTGGACCTCCTCTGCCTCCCTTTCCATTCCTGCCCAGCTCCTGACACTTGACCTTAGTGGTGTGGTCTGAATTGCTTCACTTTGTCTTGACGGTCACAAAAAAGATACTTGAAAGGCGGAAATTTTTATAATTTAAAATTTAACGATTGGGTTTTTTTTTTTTTTTTTAACTTCATTTTGCCCTGTCAAAACCAAACAATTTCAGGGTTGTGTTTACGAGGTCTGTGTTGGATCTCAAGCCTCATCCGGGCCTTTCTCTGTAGCTGATTGTTGTGTCATGACTAATTGCTTCTATAATCACATTCCATTCTATAATTACACCTCTTCACCTCTTATTACTGCTTTTCGCTCTCTTCCTGGGGCTCTGACATGATGGTTTTGGTAACCTTTTAGCCAAAATTCAGGGAATGAAGAACGCTGTTCCCAAAAATGACAAAAAGAGGAGGAAACAACTCATTGAAGATGTAGCTAAGTTGGAGAGAGAAATGGAGCAAAGGCACAGGGAAGAACTGGAGCAGTTGAGACTGACGTACAAGGAGAGTAAGGTATGGGGAATAAAGCTTGTTTCTGAGTCTTTGGAAACAGCTGTCTGAGTCTGTTGAACCGCTTACTGTGTACATTCACAAAATTGGCAGTGAGATTGAGTCATGCAGTCAACCCACAGGTCACATTACATCATTATTATTTTTTGAGACAAAGTGTCAGTAGTTCAGGTTGCCACCCATCTGGATTTGTAGCAGAGGAAAACCGTGAACTTCAGATCCTACTCTCTTGACCTCACAAGTGCTGGGATTATAGGCATGCACCACCACACCCAGCTTTACATTTCCTCTGTATTTTGTGACCAGGTTTGTTTGTTTATTTTTTTAAGGGAGATCAGAAAAGAAGTACCTACTTACTTAACCCAATGATGAAAATGTAAAGTATAAAGTATGCTAGAGAAGTTTTCTCTTGAGTGAAAGTTGTAAGACTAGAATGCTTGTCAGGGATTAATGATGACTAACCTCTGCAAGTTAATCAGCTGGAGAATAAATTTTCTCCACATGTGACATTGTGGCACAAATGTTCTTGTGCACTTTACAGGTTCCTATAAAAAACAAATGGGACAACGGATGTGAAATCATACGTAAGTCACAAAAAGTGCTTCATGAAACAGTCGCAATGAATGAAGTTTTACGGATGCTTCTTGTGTGTATGGGAGTGTGCTAACATGATCTGTTCAGTGTTTATCATTCTACCTAGCAGTGTATGCCAGCTACTTTGTGCACTGTATGGTATCTAGTATTTCAATTAATTGTCAGTAATCCTGTAAAACGATCTCTGTAAAATAAATGGAGATAGATAATCACACTTTTCCAGTAGGAAACACTTAGATTAAGGTCTGTTTTTTTTTTCCTTTTTTTCAGAGCTGAGGACTGAACCCAGGGCCTTGTGCTTGCTAGGCAAGCGCTCTATCACTGAGCTAAATCCCCAACCCCTAGATTAAGATCTTTGTCCCGAAGTCATAATAACTATTGAGTGCCAAAAGCTAGAATTCAAAACTAGGCCATCAATCCCCGCAGTGGGTGGCACACATCTTTAATTCCAGCACTTGGTAGGCAGAGGCAGTTAGATCTTAGTTAAAAGTCAACCTGGTCAGAGTGAGTTCCAGGATAGCCAGGGCTACACAGAGAAACCCTTTCTCAAAAACAAAGAAAAACAAAACCAGGCCATCTTTATACCTTTATATAATATAGTAATTTGTTACATGAGTTTTGAATATGAAGAGTCATATTCTATAAACTCAGTTACTGTTGATAGGAATTTCTTAGTTCTATGCACGATCTCATCGTCGTAAGGTTTCATTCATTTTTGTTCTGTTGGCAAGGGAAGAGTTTCTGTGTGTCCATTTACACAGAGTATTAAATACAGTGTCAAAGTCTTTAATTCCATTACCCAGTCAGTCATCATGTTCCTGGCCTGCCTTACTGTTAAAATACTTTTATCTCCAGCCTGGCATGGTGATACATGCTTATAGTCCCAGCACTCAGGAGGCAGAAGAAGGGAAGTTGTGAGATTGAGGCCAGCCTGGGCTTCATAGCAAGACCCCTATCTCAAAACCCAACAACAGCAACAGAAAAGAAAGCGAGAACTTTTATGGGGGCTGCCCGTAAAGCTCACCATGTAAGGGTCTTGCGGTTAAGCCTGACCATCTGAGTTCTATCCCAGAATTCAACCTCCAGGGAAGAAAGAGTTGTCTTCTGACCTCCCATACATATAAGTGTGAAAACACGGTGTTCTGGTTTAAGTGTTCAGGCATGTCAGCATTGTGCTATTCCTAATTGTCTCCCTCTGTTTTCTAGCAGTAAGGTGTTTGGTTTGCTCTCTTAGGCCTTCTATTTCAAGATTTCCAAAAAAAAGAAAAATTTGATTCTTAACCATTCAAGATGCTAAGATGCAAATTCTCCAGCCCACCTTAACTGTCCTCCTTTTCATTAACTTAAACTTGTTTTCTTTTTGGCCTTGCCCCGATTCTGAATTCTGTTTTTTGTTAATATCTTGCGAATTTTGGCAGAATCAAAACAAAACAAACCAACAAACAAAGAATAGATTGAATAAAGTTGTTAAATTATTTGAAGTCTATCAGATTTTGATAGTTTTATCACTTGGGACATAGTCTCTGGAGACTTTTGCATCTGTTTTCAGATGCTTTGAGTTTTATATATTTATCATACTAAAAACTAGCTTGAGTTACAGTAATGACATACTAGCAGTTTATCCAAGTAGAAGGCTAACTTTTTTCTTTAACACTGTTAACCTTTGAAGTTTAGGGTTGATTGTAAATTGTTAATGAAGCTGTCAGTTTGTAGTTAGGAGAAGATAGAAATTGCTCAGTTCTAGCCTCAGAAATTAGTGCTCATTAAATTTTGGCTAATTAACACGGGGAAGTGACTCTGTTGTTACCTTTAAGAACATGAAGGTAGTGATGAGCACAAATTATTTTGTATGTCTGCATTGATGGACAAGACAGATGCCCTGAAATGAAAGTAAGGTATTTAGAGTAATGGAGTAGGTTCCAGAAGGATAGAAGGTATGTAAGAATGAGTCTTGTCTTTGGAGAGCTATGAAAAATCTTGGCAATTTTACAAATTCATCCATGAAAGTAGAGAAAGGTGACAAACTGTACTATTTAATATTGTGTCTAGGGTTGCTGCTCAAACTGGAAGTAAGGGGTTTTCAATAATAATTTAGTAGCCTAACACTTTCAATACGTTATAAACATTTTTATTAATTTCTTCCTTTTTTTTAAAATTTTTTTTCCTTCAGATAGATTCTGTTGCTGTTAACATTTCAAACTTGGTACTTGAGAATCAACCACCTCGGATTTCAAAAGCACAAAAGAGACGGGTATGAAAGTAATATCACCAAGTATATAAGCTAGTACTCAATACTGTCTTAGATATTATATAAGAAAAGATTAGAAAAAAATGGAGTTCCTTGTCTAGGGACCTGAACTAATGTCTAATAAGTGCTTGTCTTATGTCAGATAATATTCTAAGCTATTTATATTGAAATCTTATTTAGTCCTGACAGTAATCTTATGAAGTAAGATTTTATTTCCTTCTACAGAAGATAATAGGTATAAGACAATGAAAAATAAGATATCTAGTTTGCAGTTCTTTTTTGTTTGTTTGTTTTTTTTTGTTTTTTTTTTGTTTTTCGAGACAGGGTTTCTCTGTGTAGCTTTGCGCCTTTCCTGGGTCTCGCGCCGTAGACCAGGCTGGCCTCGAACTCACAGAGATCCGCCTGCCTCTGCCTCCCGAGTGCTGGGATTAAAGGCGTGCGCCACCACCGCCCGGCTAGTTTGCAGTTCTTATAGTGGAGGCAAAGGACTATTTTTTTTTCTTAGACAAATACATTATTGTAAACTTAATTTAGAAATTTCAAAGACTGAGGTCATATGACTGCGCAACCCTGTTTAAAAATTAGTGCTCAGGAGGCTGGAAAGATGGCTCAGACCACAGTTGGTTCCCGATTGTGGGGCTGCTCACAACCATCTATAACTCCAGCTCCAGGGAGATCTGATGCCTCTCTCTGGTCTCCATGGGAACCTGCACTTACATGCACATACCCCCACACACAAACAAACACACATAATTAAAAAATAAACTTTAAATATATTTTTAAAAAAGTAATGCTCAGGGATAAAGTAAAAATTTGAACTTAGAAATACAATAAAACATGCAGGGATCCAGAGTTCTGAGAGAATTATGTTGTTATTTATATAATGTTTAATTACACTAAAAATTCAGAGAAGGGAAACTTCATTATGTCAAGTGTTAATGATTTGAAGGAAAGATAAATGTTTAGACAAAAGACATTCTACACAGCAGAAATAGCATAATAAAAACAAATGGGGGAATGAGATACAGCATTAGAT